TTACCATGAAGGTCCTGATCGCACTATTAGGCCAGCAACCCGATCGTGCGAAACGTGCGACACCCCCCACCACTCGGGCATCTAAGGCGACCTCAAGGGGTGCTCCAAGGATTTTCACATATGGCTTTGGGAGTCCTATGTGAAAGTACTGATTTGCAGGGGATGCCATGTAGGATGGATGTGAGATGACGTTTGACGGATACAGCGCAAGAAGAGTTCGAGCGGCTGTGTCCTCTGAAGCATGCAACGAGTACATCTGTGCAGAATATATATCCTTAATCGGATTCAATTCCGCATTCCCAGGCACGCTATGAAGTAGATCTGCGTTGTGATCAGGCTGGGCAGGAATGGTACCTTGGGTGCCAGGAAAGCCATTGATTGGTGCAGAGTTAGTCGGGCCTAAAGGTCGACTCGCTGGAGGACTTGAGGAAACCCTGAATTCGTTAGACCTTGGTAATTCTGGGTTAATGCCATGTCTGGTGATTGACGCGGTTGGATGCTCCAAGCTAGGCGATAAAGAGCCCTGCATGTTCGCACCAATAGGAACCACAGGAGAGTGTGTGGATATATTGGGGTGTGGGCGGCTGGAAGAAGGGCTTCCTGATCGAAGAGGGGACGGCGCTCGAGGATTTGACGTTCCAGGGTCACTTTGGTGGCTTGCCTTGACAAATAAAAGCGACTCTGTTTCGGCCATCTTGAGCTCGTCGTACGAAACAACCACAGGGAGTGAGCGGCTAGTAATATCGTAGTCGGCTATTTCTTTCCCTTTTCCTTTTGATACGCTAGACGCCCATCCTTTGGTAGTTTCAAGAGCTGCCTCGAGGAAGCGGGATTTAGGACCATAGGATTGGTTATAGCGGGATATTGTGGGCGACAGGTCGCCGTCGACGATATTACGTGCAATGGGAATGTACACTCTTCGCCAGGAGTCAATCTCGTCCTTTACCTCGGGTCGATCATCATTGGATTGCCTTCCACCTTCATTCAAGATCGAAGCCAAAGCGCCGCCTGAGGCAGCCACTGTGTTGATCGCTCGGCGAACACCTCGACCTTTCTTGCCAGCCGCGCTTCTACTCTGGCTTTCTATCTGTCTCGCCAGAGCCGCTACCCTCTCCCTCTCCTCCTCTCTTTTCTGCATTCCTTTTGCCCACTCTGAGTCAAGGGTAGCGGCGCTCCACTTCGCCTCGTCGCAAACGACACAGATCCAGGCAGCGGCGCTATCCTTCTTCAGTTGTTCGAAGTCCACCTTGTAGCATTTCGCGTGTTGCCAGGTTTGGCAAGAGTCGCATTGTACCATTTGGCCATCGTCCCAATGCGTAGCGCAGATGCACCGAATCACCCCATCCGTTTGCGAGTCTTTGGAGGGCGAGTATGCCTCTCCTTCGAGCTGGTTTAGGGCATATGGTGCTGCGAGGAGGTCTTCGTATAGTTGGTTTGGGGAACTCGATAGGGGCAAACCAAACTCCGATCCACCGTCGTGAAGGCGCAAACATCTTGAACCCGTACCACATATAGCTGAACCTAGCTTTCTCAATTTCGACTCTGAAGTTTGGAGCAAATATCAGTAATACTCGGTTATTACTTGCCTTGAATATTTACACCTCAAACCCTGTCTCTCTAGGCTTACGGGTCGGAGAGCGCGGTGGATTGAGGTCGTGAAGTCTAGAAAACGATTCTAGTTTATTAATGTGAGTACAAGCTATCATTATCAGAGACTCATTCCGTTGTCGGAGTGCCCGTCCAGTGGCATTATGTGAATGCTGAGCGTCATCTTTCCACAGAAAATCCAATGCAAATACCGTGGCGTTGCTATATTCCACATTGCAGCTTATTTCAAGCAACTGTACACTACGATGGATGTTATAGAGCCCATACCCGATCCCGGTTCCGGAGTCTTCACCTCGAATCCTATCCCGACTTTACGAAGGTCCGGCAGCCCATCCCTGTCCATACAGCCCCTTCCCCCTACCAAACGACCACGAATATTGGAACCCCCCAGTGATGTAGTCACGCTACCTTCCACTTCTGCAAAGAAGAGCAAAACTCGCAGGAAACGCGCAAATTCCCTAGAGCCAGCTCTCCCTTTATCGTATCCCCCAAACCAACTATACGAAGACCTCCTCGCAGCACCATATGCCCTAAACCAGCTCGAAGGAGAGGCATA